AACAAAGTACTGAGTAAAGAGTCTGAATACATACCAACATTTTATATTTCAGTTTTTATTTTGTAATACATTATCAAACATTTCTAAAAACCTGTTTTTGTTTTGTCATTATGGGGTATTGTGTGTAGATTGATGAGGGGAAAAAACAATTTAACAAATGTTAGAATTAGGTTGTTGTCACGCCCTGGCTCTGGGGACTCTAGTATGTTGAGCCAGGGTGTGAGTTTTCATGTGTGTTGGTTCTAGTTGGTGTATATCTATGTTGGCCAGGGTGGCTCCCAATCAGAGACGGCGGTAGCTCGTTGTCTCTGATTGGGAGTCATACTTAGGTAGCCGTTAGGCATTCATTCATTGTGGTTTCTTGTTCGTGTTGGTTTGTGTTTGACCATAGACTGTCACGTCATCGTTTTGTTGTTTTGATCGTGTGATCATTAATTAAATAAATATGTTCGCATTCAACGCTGCGCCTTGGTCCTCCTCTGTTCCCGACGAGCGTGACAGTTGTAACGTAAAAAAATGTGGGAAAAGTCAAGGGGTCTTTCCGAAGGCCCTGTATGTACTTGATGTTTTACCCTTGTGCTACGTACTCATCAATCCACATGTAGACTGAGATGCATTCTAACATCATTCATCTCTGCTATGGAAGAACATGACTTTCTGTTCATCCAGAAACCAGGATGCTGTGTTTGATCACTGTCTTGCCGTTGTAGGTTTATGTACTCTGGGTTTGAAATGGTTTCCTCAGGTTATAATGGCACGTTATTGATTCCTGTCACAAAGAGAGAGAGAGAGAGAGAGAGAGAGAGAGAGAGAGAGAGAGAGAGAGAGAGAGAGAGAGAGAGAGAGAGAGAGAGAGAGAATAGAGAGACACAGAGAGACACAGAGAGACACAGAGAGAGAGAGAGAGAGAGAGAGAGAGAGAGAGAGAGAGAGAGAGAGAGAGAGAGAGAGAGAATGAGTACAGAGTGTTCAGATGCCAATGAAGATGTCAATGAGACTCTCAATCAGTGTATATGGGAGACGGTCGGAGGCAGCAGATGCTTCTGTAGAAATATTGATCCAGGCCAGACACTCACACTATCTAACTGCTCAATAACCAGCCATTAAATAAAACAACTATTTTCTCATCCTGTTTTCCAGAAGGTTGTAATGGCACTGGAAGGGAGTTATATAGTTGACATGTGGCTGGTACAGCATGTTGCAAAACAGGACATTTCCTTTCAGATGAGATGACAGATGTATAGCTTACACATTCTGTGATGGCTGAAGGCATTGCTGTGTGTGTGTGTGTGTGTGTGTGTGTGTGTGTGTGTGTGTATGTTTATTTTAATAAACTGCACCATGCAGGTAAACATACGTTCATGCAATTACAAGTACACAAACACATGTCATTTTCTATACAGGTTTATTTACAAAATGTATGAAAATTCTCTGTACAGCTCCTCTCTAACAAGATCAGTAAATCATATACACACATGCAGATTCTGACTCTATAGCAATAGTCACTAAGATGCTTGGCAATTCTCTCTGTGTGAAGTGAACTTACACAACCAAAGAAACTGGTGATCTAGAATCTGATGTAAGTTAGCAGAGCTTGTAACAAGTAATTACTGATTTTACATGCAATTTCTTAGAAAAACTGGGAAACCCATCACTCCTTTCTTGTGTAGCCTTAATACATAAATCTAATTTCAATAAATGTACACGTCTCTTTCTTTACAATTGTTTATTTCCTATTTCTTGCCTTCCCTTTTTTTAGAATTGTTTTTCTTTTTTTTGTGTAAAACTATCTTTCCACGGTTTTAGGTGATTCATTTTCTTCTTAAATCCTATGGAATCACAGTCTTTTGAAAAGGAAATGTGCTAAGCTTTGAAGACATCCCCTGTAAGTACGTTGTATAAATCTATTTTCTCATTGTAATTATTTATATTATTCATTTATTTCATTTACTAAGTCAATTCACCAAACACTATAATGCTCATAAAATGAAATTTAAACTGAAAGCAAATCATCAAACCGCAGCTTATTCTAAAATGTGTAATTGTTTAGCAAAATACCAAGGTCATCCAAAATACTACTGTTAAAAAGCCATTACTGTTTGGATTGCAGTTCATCTACTTTTGAATGTCCCTTTTGGTTTGGTTTTAATTTATTTTACAGAAGACTTGAATGATTTTAGGTTACATGAAAATCCAGTTATAAGCAGGTGTTCTTTCATAATAAAAAAAAAAAGAGCCTATTTTGGATCGACACTGTGTGAGTTTTCTCTTCATATTCTACACACCATAAAACACACTGGGAGAGTTACTCAACCATGAAACTGCTCAGACTGTCCTCTGCATGCTTTAAAAAAACACATCTGAATCTGTTGGCAGTATATTGGGATTGTGAGATGGTCTGTTTTAGTTGTGTAAAGCCAAATGCTGCATCTCACATTCATCGCTTTCAAGAGTCCCTTTGTTTGCGTCCAGAATGGCACCCTATTCCCTATGTAGTGCACTTCTTTTGACTAGGGGCTCTAATCATAAGTAGTGCACTATATAGGGAATAGGGTTCCATTTCAGATGCACATTTGACTCACTACCAGTCTATCTCTGAGACTTCAGAAGTACCATAGTTGAGGACAACAACAGCACAGTATCCTTTTGGCTATGGCATATTTAACCAATTGATTCCAATAAGATTCAAATATGTCTTTCAAAAACCAATTCCAAGGTCACAGCAGTATAAAAAGCTATCTTCTAATAATCAGTGACTTACAGTGCCTATAATAAACTTATTTTAAAACACATTTAACCAGTAAAAACCTGGCCTGCAAGAAGAATTAGGATAATCTGATCAAATTCCCTTAGCAGAAAAACCAATTTATCATCTGTCATATCATATTCATCTTCTGTCCGGCTCTTGGACATGTGCTTGGGGTGATGGCTTCTCCTTTTCTCCTCTAATATCATCACAGCGTCTCAAATAAAGTTCCTTAAAACAGATTACGGTATCGATCCTGTCTTTCTGTTTATTTGTCTGATTAGTTGTTTATTTGTGAGTTCAAGCAAAAAGCGATACCATAGTGATGAGTTGCAATGTTCTAAGTCATTCTGTGAGTCTGTTCCATACATAAGGCACGGGAGGAAACCGCTTGAGTTCTTCATGTCACCAGTCCTGTCGTGTCGTCATTGCAGATTATCGTCGCCATTGCCGCCAGGAGAGGATTTAGTTGCAGTTGAGGAAACCCCCATCCTGATGTGATCCTGTCATTTAATCATAGGGTCAATAGTCACAGTCGTTCGTAAGGGTCTAGCTGATGCACCTGAAGGAAGTAGAGACATAGGGAGGATCTCAATTGCATTTCATTGATTCCTTGCGTCCTCTCTCCTCGCCTCCTCAAAACCAATTGGATGAGAAGTCAGATGTCCCTCCCCTCTGACCTTCTCACCCAATGGGTTTTGAGGAGTTGAGGAGAGAGGATCCAAGGAATCAATGAATGCAATTGAGATTCTCACACAGAGACACATGGGTAATAGGCCTGTTAAAATGGTGGATGAGATGAGATGTGTCATTAGGTTGGAATGGTTGAGTCATGATGATGTGTTACTTGGGACATTAGCTTAGCTATAAGCGATTTGCAGATGCCGCTAGCATATTCTACTGAGTAAACTGAAACCTTATGTGTTTACGAGATAAAGATACATATTTCTGATGGGTTATTCAAAAAAAATAATATGTTGATTTCAATTAACTGTTTGTGGTGTCAAGAACACCACGGTGCAGGTTTTTTTCTGGATCAAAAAGGGGCGTGGCAGGGGGAGCCAGGGGGCGTGGCAGGGGACGTGAAATGGGGCGTGGCCGGCCTGTTGGGAGGCTGAATTGTAATCATTTATAGGCCCCCATCTTGGCCGTGTAGCGAAATATTTGCATTTTAAGCCAATTTCCTGCAAATCTACATATTCTGCCATGGAACTGAGACAACATTTTGCAGTTTTACAACTAATTTCCTTCACTTTTATGCATTTTGCCATGGCTAATGCTGTGTTATTTTGATCAAACATAAAAACAAAATATATTCTGCAAAATTCATTTTTTAAATTTTTTATGTACAATTCTCCCTGTCTAGCTTTTATGTTGGTGATTGTTACTTCTCAAATATTATATTATTAAAGAATATGTAGGTCCATTATCTATTCTACATCTATTCTATTCTATTCTACATCTATCTATTCTACATCTATTCTATTCTACATCTATTCTATCTACATCTATTCTATTCTATTCATCATTCTACATCTATCTATTCTACATCAATTCTATTCTATTCTATTCTATTCTACATCTATTCTATTCTACATCTATTCTATTCTATTATATTCTACATCTATTCTATTCTACATCTATTCTATTCTATTCTATTCTATTCTACATCTATTCTATTCTAATCATCTATTCTATTCTATTCTACATCTATTCTATTCTATTCTATTCTACATCTATTCTATTCTACATCTATTCTATTCTATTCTATTCTATTCTATTCTACATCTATTCTATTCTATTCTATTCTATTCTACATCTATTCTATTCTACATCTATTCTATTCTATTCTATTCTATTCTACATCTATTCTATTCTATTCTACATACTTTATATCTGGTTTTAATCGCTTAAGTTTACACTGGAAAAAAATGTCCAATCCCGAAAATGTATTTAAAATTATGATAATACTTTTTTTTACACTGTTTGGACTCAGGCCACCCGAAAAAAATGCTTAACAATGTCAAGTCAACAAAAGTCTTCGGGAATTGTAAATGTAATGTTGGGTTGTCTATTGTGGGTATGTTCAAGTCAAGAGTGACAAAGTGTTACGAAATCACACCAAACAGCTTGACAACAACACAAAACAAACAAATGAATCATTCAACACCAACGACACCACCAGAGGAAACCAACTGAATGATTCAGATGTCGCAGAGAGAGAATCAGGAAGAGAGCAGCGTCGTCATTACCCTTAGATCTTAACGCTGTCTGTCCCATACACGTTGTAGCCTTCTCTGTATGTGGCAAAGTTCTGGGGGTTGGTCGGGGGAGCTGGCTTAAATTTCTCAGCATTCTTTGCTAGTTTGAGACGTTTGGTTTCTGCACGTGACTTGTAACAGAACTCAATCAGAGCCACCATCATGGCCAGCCCCAGCCCTCCAACCAGAATATAGAAGACTCCAGCCACATTGCTCAGGCTGAGAGCACTTGTCTTGTCCTGGGGAAGGTGAAGAACATAGTTAGAGGGTTTGCGGTGGAGAGAGTTCTGCAGAGGACAGTGCAGCCTACCAGTGTGCCAACAAAGCAGAGTATCTATAGACCTCAAACTGATCCTTACAGAGTCTTGTTGAAATAACAGTCAAAGACCTAACACTCAGAACTCACGTGGATACTCTATAACTAGACCCTCCTACAAACTGTCTCTCTCTGAGACAGAAACGTTTCTGATGCTACCAATGGCAGATCATACTACAGACTCCAGAGGCTAACAGCAACAGAAGGTTGACAAAGTAAAGGATGGCTGAGGTTGACTCTAGAAGAGGTCTAGATTGGACTGGCTTTCCTATAGTGGTCCAAGAAGTTTTGAGGAACATCTGAACACAATAGTCAGACCACTCTCCAATGAAGGAGAGACAAGTCACCTCTTTAGTTTGATCTAGGTGAATGTAGAGCTTTCCCCTACTCTACAGGTCTTCTTCCATATAGGAAGCTGCGGTCAGTAACTCACAGGTCAACATTTCAAGACATGTCCTGAATAAAAATGTATTGGTACACTTTGATACTGTGTAGTCAAATCTCTCTGACATCAAAAAATTAAAAAAAAGTAAATTGTTAAGAACGGAATCAAACCATTTTGCTGCTGCTTACTTCCCAAACATGTTTATAAAAATGTTGTTCATGAGAGTTTTACCATTTGCAGTTTAACACTTTGAGGTTTGACTGAGGTTATATCTGTGGTAATATGTAGCTAAGCCGTCGAGGGTACGGACACTGATCTGTTAGTTCATTGGCCTGGCTATGGTCTCAGAGGGTTAAATATAGGTTTATTGCATTCTTAGACTTCATATGGGGTGGAAACAACAAGATCTCTTCATTGCAACTCCTTGCTCAGACAAAGACTTGAAAAACACCCCACAGTGTCGTAATGTCTTCCTGAAGTTAAATGGAAGCAATTGATCACAACAAGAACACTTTGTTTGTTTACTACACCACATGAGGTTAAAGAACCCAATAGATACATTTCTATGCAAACTAGTAACAACACAGATAAATCCCATTTTAATTAAAAGTTTAGTAAATAGAAACAGCAGCAGAATGGTAAGAATATTATGAGTGTGAAGTGTGAAAACGTGTCAACAGCTAGTCAACAACTATTCAATGATGGTGTTTGATTATTTTACACATTTACAATTTCCACAAGCATACTCTAAGGTAATTTACCATTACATTTTTTGTTACATGTATGTGGCAGAATTTAGTTTTTTGTTTTGTTTGTATAATAAAATAAGAAAAGAAGGGTAGGGGGATATAGAGTATAGCTAATATAGATGTTTCAGTATAGTTTAGTATTTCTTTGCATATGAACAGTACGTCACAATGCAACTGGGAATCAACACAAAAGACCATCGGAGACTGACCTTACTTCCAGAGTCCTTGGTTCCACATTCACCCTTATCGTACCACCATTTGTTTTTCAGCTTGTCTAAGATGCCTTGTTCACTGAGTTTCAATACGGCAAGGTTTACAGGAGTTCTTCACGTGAGAAATAACATAAATAACATCATATTATGTTATTTTATGTTATTCATAACTTCATATATTGCATAACTTCATAACAAAGCGATCGAGCAGGACTCCTGGCCATTGTCACATCACAGAGAGCAGGCATTCTAGTGTATTACCTTGTCATCATTGACCAGCCCTAGTCTAGGGCCAGGGCCTGCTCCTATCGCTTCGAGTAATCGGCAGACGCTGGTAACAGGACCAGCAGGTACTGACTGTACACTCTGCTGGTCTGGGAGTATCTAAAGCTGAGGAAGGTATTTGTTTGTGGGGACAGCAGGGTAGCTTTTCTGACCAGCACTTAAAACGTTCTATCCCACTAGAACCATCTCTTGACTAACAATAACAGTAAAGGACTACAACTACAACCTGATATTTTCCGAGGCGGTAGAAGCAGAGGGTAGAAGCAGAGGGTAGAAGACCTCCTACTGAAACATCACAGGGTGGCTCTGAGCTTTGGTTGCAAAGGACAACATGAACATTGAAAACTTCGGACACACTAATAACGGCATGTATCTTGACATTAAAGAAGGCATTAAAACACTGAATGAAGCCAGACGTGTTTAACATCAATCATTTCATAAGAACTTGTGCTATTTATTGGTGGGAAAACCAGTTGTTGCTGTAGCCTTTACTACATTCGCTTACAAGGGGGATTACTGTCAACCGAACCAAGCTGAAGCTTTATTACCGCTGGTTAAGCTCAGCTTTGACACATCAGGGGAATAATACATGTGGTTTCTCTCTGTAATATGGTTTCATCAGAGGAAACTGAGAGGTAATAATCATGTGTTAAAATTTTGAATTGAAGGTACAACTGACAAAATGTCTGTTACTTAACATTAACTATTTACCTGTGCAAGATACATGCCACAATGTTATGTGTGGAGTGCTCTACTCTATAGCCCCTATAGAAACAGACTGGTGGTGCTCTACTCTATAGCCCCTATAGAAACAGACTGGTGGTGCTCTACTCTATATCCCCTATAGAAACAGACTGGTGGTGCTCTACTCTATAGCCCCTATAGAAACAGACTGGTGGTGCTCTACTCTATAGCCCCTATAGAAACAGACTGGTGGTGCTCTACTCTATAGCCCCTATAGAACTGACTGGTGGTGCTCTACTCTATATCCCCTATAGAAACAGACTGGTGGTGCTCTACTCTATAGCCCCTATAGAAACAGACTGGTGGTGCTCTACTCTATAGCCCCCTATAGAAACAGACTGGTGGTGCTCTACTCTATAGCCCCTATAGAAACAGACTGGTGGTGCTCTACTCTATATCCCCTATAGAAACAGACTGGTGGTGCTCTACTCTATAGCCCCTATAGAAACAGACTGGTGGTGCTCTACTCTATAGCCCCTATAGAAACAGACTGGTGGTGCTCTACTCTATAGCCCGTATAGAAACAGACTGGTGGTGCTCTACTCTATAGCCCCTATAGAAACAGACTGGTGGTGCTCTACTCTATATCCCCTATATAAACAGATTGGTGGTGCTCTACTCTATATCCCCTATAGAAACAGACTGGTGGTGCTCTACTCTATAGCCCCTATAGAAACAGACTGGTGGTGCTCTACTCTATATCCCCTATATAAACAGATTGGTGGTGCTCTACTCTATAGCCCCTATAGAAGCAGACTGGTGGTGCTCTACTCTATATCCCCTATAGAAACAGACTGGTGGTGCTCTACTCTATATCCCCTATAGAAGCAGACTGGTGGTGCTCTACTCTATATCCCCTATAGAAACAGACTGGTGGTGCTCTACTCTATAGCCCCTATAGAAACAGACTGGTGGGTGCTCTACTCTATAGCCCCTATAGAAACAGACTGGTGGTGCTCTACTCTATATCCCCTATAGAAACAGACTGGTGGTGCTCTACTCTATATCCCCTATAGAAACAGACTGGTGGTGCTCTACTCTATATCCCCTATAGAAACAGATTGGTGGTGCTCTACTCTATATACCCTATAGAAGCAGACTGGTGGTGCTCTACTCTATATCCCCTATAGAAACAGACTGGTGGTGCTCTACTCTATAGCCCCTATAGAAACAGACTGGTGGTGCTCTACTCTATAGCCCCTATAGAAACAGACTGGTGGTGCTCTACTCTATATCCCCTATAGAAACAGACTGGTGGTGCTCTACTCTATATCCCCTATAGAAACAGACTGGTGGTGCTCTACACTATAGCCCCTATAGAAACAGATTGGTGGTGCTCTACTCTATATCCCCTATAGAAGCAGACTGGTGGTGCTCTACTCTATATCCCCTATAGAAACAGACTGGTGGTGCTCTACTCTATAGCCCCTATAGAAACAGACTGGTGGTGCTCTACTCTATAGCCCCTATAGAAACAGACTGGTGGTGCTCTACTCTATATCCCCTATAGAAACAGACTGGTGGTGCTCTACTCTATATCCCCTATAGAAACAGACTGGTGGTGCTCTACTCTATAGCCCCTATAGAAACAGACTGGTGGTGCTCTACTCTATAGCCCCTATAGAAACAGACTGGTGGTGCTCTACTCTATAGCCCCTATAGAAACAGACTGGTGGTGCTCTACTCTATATCCCCTATAGAAACAGACTGGTGGTGCTCTACTCTATAGCCCCTATAGAAACAGACTGGTGGTGCTCTACTCTATAGCCCCTATAGAAACAGACTGGTGGTGCTCTACTCTATATCCCCTATAGAAACAGACTGGTGGTGCTCTACTCTATATCCCCTATAGAAACAGACTGGTGGTGCTCTACTCTATAGCCCCTATAGAAACAGACTGGTGTGGCTCTACTCTATAGCTCCTATATAAACAGACTGGTGGTGCTCTACTCTATAGCCCCTATAGAAACAGACTGGTGGTGCTCTACTCTATAGCCCCTATAGAAACAGACTGGTGGTGCTCTACTCTATAGCCCCTATAGAAACAGACTGGTGGTGCTCTACTCTATAGCCCCTATAGAAACAGACTGGTGGTGCTCTACTCTATAGCCCCTATAGAAACAGACTGGTGGTGCTCTACTCTATATCCCCTATAGAAACAGACTGGTGGTGCTCTACTCTATATCCCCTATAGAAACAGACTGGTGGTGCTCTACTCTATATCCCCTATAGAAACAGACTGGTGGTGCTCTACTCTATATCCCCTATAGAAACAGACTGGTGGTGCTCTACTCTATATCCCCTATAGAAACAGACTGGTGGTGCTCTACTCTATAGCCCCTATAGAAACAGACTGGTGGTGCTCTACTCTATAGCCCCTATAAAAACAGACTGATGGTGCTCTACTCTGTATCCCCTATAGAAACAGACTGGTGGTGCTCTACTCTATAGCCCCTATAGAAACAGACTGGTGGTGCTCTACTCTATATCCCCTATAGAAACAGACTGGTGGTGCTCTACTCTATAGCCCCTGTAGAAACAGACTGGTGGTGCTCTACTCTATATCCCCTATAGAAACAGACTGGTGGTGCTCTACTATATAGCCCCTATAGAAACAGACTGGTGGTGCTCTACTCTATATCCCCTATAGAAACAGACTGGTGGTGCTCTACTCTATAGCCCCTATAGAAACAGACTGGTGGTGCTCTACTCTATAGCCCCTATAGAAACAGACTGGTGGGTGCTCTACTCTATAGCCACGTATAGAAACAGACTGGTGGTGCTCTACTCTATAGCCCCTATATAAACAGACTGGTGGTGCTCTACTCTATAGCCCTATAGAAACAGACTGGTGGTGCTCTACTCTATAGCCCCTATAGAAACAGACTGGTGGTGCTCTACTCTATAGCCCCTATATAAACAGACTGGTGGTGCTCTACTCTATAGCCCCTATATAAACAGACTGGTGGTGCTCTACTCTATATCCCTCTATAGTAAACAGACTGGTGGTGCTCTACTCTATAGCCCCTATAGAAACAGACTGGTGGTGCTCTACTCTATATCCCCTATAGAAACAGACTGGTGGTGCTCTACTCTATAGCCCCTATAGAAACAGACTGGTGGTGCTCTACTCTATATCCCCTATAGAAACAGACTGGTGGTGCTCTACTCTATAGGCCCCTATAGAAACAGACTGGTGGTGCTCTACTCTATATCCCCTATAGAAACAGACTGGTGGTGCTCTACTCTATAGCCCCTATAGAAACAGACTGGTGGTGCTCTACTCTCTAGCCCCTATAGAAACAGACTGGTGGTGCTCTACTCTATAGCCCCTATAGAAACAGACTGGTAGTGCTCTACTCTATATCCCCTATAGAAACAGACTGGTGGTGCTCTACTCTATAGCCCCTATATAAACAGACTGGTGGTGCTCTACTCTATAGCCCCTATATAAACAGACTGGTGGTGCTCTACTCTATAGCCCCTATATAAACAGACTGGTGGTGCTCTACTCTATAGCCCCTATAGAAACAGACTGGTGGTGCTCTACTCTATAGCCCCTATAGAAACAGACTGGTGGTGCTCTACTCTATAGCCCCTATAGAAACAGACTGGTAGTGCTCTACTCTATAGCCCCTATAGAAACAGACTGGTGGTGCTCTACTCTATAGCCCCTATAGAAACAGACTGGTGGTGCTCTACTCTATAGCCCCTATATAAACAGACTGGTGGTGCTCTACTCTATAGCCCCTATATAAACAGACTGGTGGTGCTCTACTCTATAGCCCCTATAGAAACAGACTGGTGGTGCTCTACTCTATAGCCCCTATAGAAACAGACTGGTGGTGCTCTACTCTATATACTACGTCAATCAGAAAATAATGAATGATAACAAGTGTCTTAAGTTCCACTGGTGAACAATGAACAATGTCCTCCTGGGACCTTTAGGGAACCATGCATTATCATCATCAGGAGAAGAGGAAGATTACAACACTGTATAGAATATTATATCCATCATGGCCAATGGTAATAGGGTAGCTGTGAAGACCTGTCCATCGTGTTAGCTCGGAGAGACATTGATTAACAATGCAATTATCTGTTAACATGCTCCGTGATGCTGGAGCCTGAAACCCAATCTAGGAGAGCAGCAGTGATGTGGTGTGTGCCTCAGGATTAGAGAGGTGATCAGAGAGAGGGAGTGTGTGTGTGTGTGTGTGTGTGTGTGTGTGTGTGTGTGTGTGTGTGTGTGTGTGTGTGTGTGTGTGTGTGTGTGTGTGTGTGTGTGTGTGTGTGTGTGTGTGTGTGTGTGTGTGTGTGTGTGGATCGGGAGGCTCAAGGAAGGATGAGTCCAGGTAAGCTGGCTTTTCCACAGTATCCTGTAGAGATGAGACAGAGACCGTCCCAGTTGACAGCAGAGTTATTGAGAGATACTGGAGAAATAACCTTTGAACACAGCACACGATCACCAAAATTCACACACTGTCTGTCGTTCACTGATGATGCCATTGCTCATCAGAGCTAAATGCCAGACTTTGAGGTGTGCTGTGTGAATGGTTAAGAGCAGTAGAGATCAAATGCAAATTAATGTATGAAGTATTGTAAATTCAATTGATCAATACATTTAGCCATGATCCTGAAGGTTGCCCAATAAAAAGCCAAAGCATACATACCTGAGCAGGTCCAGATAAAGGCAGAAGGAAACATGTCAGAGAAGCAATGATACTGCTCTTCTACTGCAGCCGTCACAGCCTTAACCAGGCCTCAACATCACTCAGCACACTGACTATACAGCACAGATTATAATCAGAAATGCATGGTTGAAAATAGGGTTGCAAAATTCCTGTGACTTTCCCAAAATTCCTAAGTTTTCCAGAAGCCCCTATGGAATGATTCCCAGAATAAGGGGGAGAACAAGCAAGGAATGGAACCCTGCCAGAGGGAATCCTCAAACAGGGATTCTGGGAAACCTGGAATTGTTTATTTACTGGGACTTTTTTTAGTTAGTGGAATTTTGCAACCGTATATGAAAATATAGGGAAACCTATTTGTGATCATTATGGAGCTAAAACAGAAAAGAAAGAGAAGGTGTGTTGGTGGGACATTACTTGATCCATATATTATAGAGATGTTAGCCATTATGCTATTTTCAACATGTCATATTAGTATAGCATTGCAGTTCCTGAGAATTCATGTCAAATGACCGTATAAAGCCATGACACATTCTGTAGACCACAGCATCTAGCACAGCTAATCTGTAAACTAGCCACTTAGCTGACATAATTCATTGCATGAGTCATGACTGAGTCATTAGTCATTCAATTCATCTAAACTGTATCAAATGTCAATGCCCTCTTTAAAACAATTCTGGGTCTTGGTTGTTCATGTTGCGATCAAGTGGTAAATTGGGTAAAAACTTTGACACCAACTACAAATGTATAGATCTTTGGTAAAATCATTATGAAAAGGCAACCAATTATAGGGGCCATTCCCAACACCTACAAAATCCCAATTGAATTGAATTTAGTGGTACCACATGACCCACAGCCCAAAGAGATCAGACCTTCTCTTTGAGATTAGAATTCTCACGTTTGCCCGTAATGCTTAGTCCCCTCAAGACTCCGCTGTTCGCCTCGCCTCCCTGAGCTGAGACGCCTCAGCTGAGCGGACATTTTGGGGGTTTCAGCCAATGGGCTCTAGAGCCCAGCATTGGCTTCTCTAGGCCAGTCGCATGGGATGTCCAGAGAAGCAGCTATATGACATGAGCAGCTGTGAAGCCATGTTGTGTCTGACAGACAAGACAGCAATAATGTTATGAAATACAGACGTGGCCTTCACAAGAGGAAGGTGGCAGTCTCTGGCATCTAGATGCCATGTTTTCATAAATAGTTTGTGATAAACTGTTTAATGAAATGTACTTTATAATATACATACTTATCATATAATATATAACTTACAATAGGTATATTTTACTCAGAGATCTGACAGAGATACTGTTGAAGCTAAATAGACCTCAAACTGGCTATACTTTCTCTAGACAGTATAATACCTGCTGCCCTGCAGATGTTAAAGATAGAGTTAATTCCATCTCCTCCTTTTTTCCGACTGCAGGACAGCACTATCCTCCTCACATCCCTCCCATCACTGAGAAGCAGTGAAAGAACTACACTTCCTCCTTGTCAAACACAACCAAACACTTTGCCACAGATCCTTCCTCACACAACTGTCTTTCTCACAAACAACTCAGCTTAGCCTTAGCGTGCTGCCTCATCATCCTCTCTGTGTATTAGCCAAGAAGGGTTCTTAGTTTGATATTTTGTTCAATAGGCTGGTCAGAGTCTGGTAAATGACAGAAAGGCTACCTTTGAGCCTGGTTGGACTCAACACATGTTTGTTTTGGGTTGGGTTGTACTGTAGCTAACAAAGCGCGTAAGAAAATCAAAGCGCTATAATATAAATCTAATCAACAATCAATGATTCCTATTGACTATTATTAACAGCCTTGCCGATTACTCTGCACCATGGTACCCGATCTGGTGACATCGAGGCTGACCTTGGAGTCACCTCCCCCGCTGCCGCACTCGCCCTTGTCGTACCACCATTTGTTTTTCAATTTGTCCAACAGGCCTTGCTCATTCAGTTTTAACACTGCCAGGTTAACAGCATTTCTTGAAACGATAAAACATAACTTGTAAGAAAATGCACAGGTCCGTGAGAAATCTAATGCATAGTTAATAGTAGTAAGTGGTAGTATAGTATAGTATAGTATAGTATAGTATAGTCGTAGTATAGTAGTAGTATTGAATAGTAGTAGTAGTAGTTATAACGATAATGATAATAGTTGATAGCGGTAGACTACCACTCATTGTTTATTGCTAATAATAGTATTACTAATAACTCTTATATCTATTAGGAAAACGGTCTAGGTAGGAAAATGACAAATTGTTTAACGAATATGAGCTAGATAGATCAGTAAGGCTTATAGGTAGAGCAAAGAAAGTGGTAAATATTGGAAAGGTGGCATGAGGGGTTAGGTGGTTTAGAAACTGAAGTGTGCGGGATGGGGACACCAGTCATCACTGAGGAGGAAAGCAATAACAGCAAACACCATGCAATTAACATTAACATTAACACCGTGCAATTAACATTCATCACAAGTGACAGGGCAGCTTTTAAAGGCTACATTGAAAAACCGCTGAGCTGTTAAATTCAAAGTGACAACACAAGTGTTGAGAAGGAAAGCACACAGGACAGAAGGACAGAGAGAAAGATAGAAGTGAAACAGTTGTTCAACTCTCACACCCTGGAATGGATTCTGCTTTGGTTTAGGAACAACGACATTAAAACATATACAAATATAAACATCCATGATAACAATTATAAATCAACCTTGGTATCGAAGAACAGTAAAAGATATGATACCGTTACCTCTTTGTGTCCTTTCCAAAACAATAAAGAAGAAGAAGTAGTAGAAGGGCCAAACACAAGACATCAGGGTGGGTGGAATACTATAACACCATGGAGAACATCGTTATATTATCCCACCCACCTTAATGCGGAGCCTTTGGGTGTGGCCACACCGTATCCTTTTGAGTCGAGGTTCCCGCCCACTTTCATGGTGTCGCAGGGTTTCCTCTGCTCTATGTACTCATTCATGGTGGACTCCAGGAGGAACGCAAACTTGCCCTTCGACTTTCGTACCCGGGCCACCCCGTCTGGCGTGGTCTTGACGAACACTGAGGGTTCGGCCGATTTCATGTATGACCACATTTTCTCATAGACTGCTATTTTGGATCGCTGTTTAGACGGAGAGAGGGAGGGGGAAGGAGAAGAGGAATACTAGTTTAGACATCAAAGTCCATTGATGTTGATCTGTTTCGGTTCCTCATTGATCTGATGCAGGACACCTCAAGCCATCTTGAAGTGTTAATAGATATCTGGGAAGATTTAGTGGCACGTCTTCAAATACTTCAAGAGAATATTGCTGGTAAGTTCATGAAATCTTTCAGGCCTGTGCAAACTCATGATGCACAATAATCATTAGACACTAATATTACTCATACTTGGTGGCATACAGCCTACAGTGGTCTAGTAAGTCAAGCGTTGATAACGTAGTAATGACCCAAATACAAATGTATACACCATTAAGTGAACAGAAAGAGACAAAGACAGACAGAGAGAGAGAGAGAGAGAGAGATAGAGAGAGAGAGGTACAGTGAGAGAGAGAGAGAGAGAGAGAGAGATAGAGAGAGAGAGGTACAGTGAGAGAGAGAGAGAGAGAGAGAGAGAGAGAGAGAGAGAGAGAGAGAGAGGGAACCCTGAACAATGAGAGAAACAGGAAAGAGTGATACACAGATGACAACCTTGCTACAGTACACATCAGAAGGGGACCCAGTTTCCCAGTACAGTGCCTGGGGTTAGGCTTAGTCTGCCTGCTGTACAATCTGTAGGAGTGAAGAGAGGAGTTCTAGCTATCTAGAATAAGTAACAATTAAATGATTCAATGCCACTGGATTCATTTTGGCAACACATTTTCAAACTCCAGACTTCTGAATCCTGGTCTGGACCAAAGCAGAGAGAGGACTGCTCCCAAGTGGTAGTGTGTACTGTAGAGTGGATACTCTCACAAGTACACTACGGGTTAAATTTAGGAGGGTAAGTGCTATCTGGGATCCTTGGGATGTCCCTACCCCCTAATCTCTAACCCTAAACCCCTACCTTTACCATAAACATAACCATAACCCTTACCTAACTTAACCTTAACCCTTACCATTTTGAAATTAAACGTCAATCGGGTAGGGACGTCCAAAGGATTCCGGATAACAAGGAACAATTTAGGAGCTGGAGAAGTACAAGGAAGTGGGCCAGTTGGCAATAGCCTATAGGGTCAGAGTATGAACAAGCTGTTGATATGGCAACACCAATCAGAGGCATTGTTCCAGTGGCGTGAAGGATCCCATTGTCTGGGCTTCCCCAGAAGGGTCCCTTTAGGTTGAAATACTGAAACAGTCAAGGACTTCATTTTCCCAGCTCAAAGATTTGAGGTGTAGTGTATTATTAACTAAAGCAGACATTTGTGGAAGGCAGCACTTAGCTATAAATGTCATATTTCCTAAGATGTCTTCAAGTTAAATGAATCCTGAATTATGTCAAGGGGGACAAAAACACTGTTAGTGACGGACACTCAGTGTTCTCAAACAGAGTAAACAGCACACCAACTCAGCTAGTGAAGTAACACATAGATGCTGTGGGAAATGCAATAACAGCAGCACACTCACACACACACACTCACACACACTCACACACACAAACAAACAAACCCCACACACCTCACACACACTCACACACACACACACACAACGCTCACACGCGTCCACACACCACTCATCACCACACTCACACACACACACTCACAAACGCTACACTCACACACACTCACACACACTCAACACAACACCACAACAACACGATCACACGCTCCACACACACTCACCACACTCACACACACACACCACACCACTCACACACTCACACACAACACACTCCACGCATCACACGACACACTCACACACACTACACAGCTCACGCTCACACTCACACACTCACATGCCTCACCACCCACACACCTCCCACACGTCACGACACTCACAACACATCACACACTCACCACCCACCTCACACGCTCACACTTCCAAGGCTCACACACACACACACTCACACACACACACTCACACACCCCACACACTCACACCTACACACTCACACACTCACACGCACACACACTCACACACACACACACCCCACACACTCACACCCACACTCACACACTCACACACCTCACCGCTCACACACCACACTCACACACACACTCACACACGCATCACACCTCACACACACTCACCACACACGCTGCAGCATCACATCCACACACAACACGCATGCACCACGCATGCACACACAACAAGTGAGCCCTGTGCTTGTGAGTGGAGTGGGACTCGTCCATTCTAAACAAGAGATAGACCCATCAATGTCCTAATTAATATACTGCCCCTCTCTGACTGTAATGGATATTGCCTCCGACACATCACTGTTAATAAACAAAAGCATTAACCTTGACTTAACGGAGGGCCCTAGTTGGCTCAGTGTGTTCCAATACAATCTGTAATGAGTCATCCATCATGTCACATCAGACCAGAGGGGTGAGGATCAGACCAGACAACAACATAATGCAAATTAAAAAGTCAACATGATGAATGAATGCATCTCCCCGTCTCCGCCTTGATGAAAAAGGCTTGAAGTTTGGGGATGTGAGTTGATGAGCGTTCTATTTTAATGCTAATATGGGTTACAGTTAGTAATATGTATGACGACGGAGATTGGAGGGAAATTTAATAAATACGCCTTCAGATGTGGTGGCACAGGATCGTGTTGTTTTGTGTTGACAATATGATTTATTGTGCTCTCATATTTACATGAGCTAAACATCGTTGGAAGGATGATGTTGTTTGGTTTTGAGGACAATTTCCCCAACGGCTGCATGTGTGTGTGTGTGTGTGTGTGTGTGTGTGTGTGTGTGTGTGTGTGTGTGTGTGTGTGTGTGTGTGTGTGTGTGTGTGTGTGTGTGTGTGTGTGTGTGTGTGTGTGTGTGTGTGTGTGTGTGTGTGTGTGTGTGTGTCCCAGCTGACTGCCTCTTCAAATAGAAATAAGAGAATGAACAGACATTGATTAACGCTGACAGAGCTCGTGCTGCCTCAGTGGTTTATCAAGCCAATTGATCAATATCAGCATGCTAGGAGGAAGAACCACCAAATACCCTGATAAGATGATTCCACTGATAAGATGATTCCACTGATAAGATGATTCAACTGATAAGATAATAATAATAATAATAATATGCCATTTAGCAGACGCTTTTATCCAAAGCGACTTACAGTCATGTGTGCATACATTTTTTTGTGTATGGGTGGTCCCGGGGATCGAACCCACTACCTTGGCGTTACAAGCGCCGTGCTCTACCAGCTGAGCTACAGAGGACCACCCTACAGATGATTCCACTGATAAGATGATTCCACTGATAAGATGATTCCACTGATAAGACGATTCAACTGATAAGATGATTCAACTGATAAGATGATTCCACTGATAAGATGATTCAACTGATAAGACTATTCCACTGATAATAATAATAATATTAATATGCCATTTATCAGACGCTTTTATCCAAAGCGACTTACAGTCATGCATGCATACATTTTTGTGTATGGGTGGTCCCGGGGCTCGAACCCACTACCTTGGCGTTTCAAGCGCCGTGCTCTACCAGTTGAGCTACAGAGGACCACATAAGACGATTCAACTGATAAGATGATTCCACTGATAAGACGATTCAACTGATAAGATGATTCCACTGATAAGATGATTCAACTGATAAGATGATTCCACTGATAAGATGATTCCACTGATAAGACGATCCAACTAATAAGATGATTCCACTGATAAAACGATTCAACCGATAAGATGATTCAACTGATAAGATGATTCCACTGATAAGATGATTCCACTGAGAAGATGATTCCAATGTGATAAGATGATTCCACTGATAAGATGATTCCACTGAGAAGATGATTCCAATGTGATAAGATGATTCCACTGATAAGATGATTCCACTGCTCACACCCATATAGTTACTGCTGCCTGAGACAAGTTGGAGGGTGGAGAAGGACAGATGGGGAGAGAGGACTGAAGAGAGAGGGAGGGGGAGCGCATAGAGAGAGAGAGGTGAAAGGGAGAGAGAGGTGAGAGAGAGAGAGAGGGAGAGAGAGAGGGTTTTCCTCCGGAAGAGCGGGGTTGGAGCGGGGGTGGGGGTTTTTCCCCGGGGGGGGCCCAAAGGGGGGGGGGGTTTTGGGGAAAGGGGGGGGGGGGTTGGGGGTTGAGGTGTCGAGGGGGGGGAAGGAGGGTTGGGTGGTTAAACCGAGAGGGGAAAGGGGAAGGGGGAAAGGTGTGAAGAGAAAAAATTAAAAAAAAAGAACCACCGCGATCTAATCTGTATGAAAGTCAAACTACAAACATAAAACTTAATGTTCATTTTTCTGGGAAATGTGTTGTCATCTGTTACGGATACAGGTATCCTGTGTTTTGTGTTTTTCCTCTCCTTCTGCCCTAATCACAGGTGTCCTGTATGTTCCTGATTGGGGGGTCTTTGGGGGCCCCGGGGCTGATTGCTGAGGTGGACCAATCAGTGTACATTCCTTTTCATTGCACCACCTGTTTTTGGTTTTTCAATCACACATCCCATTGTTTAAATGCCAGTCAGTTGTGTTTGTAGAGAGAGACTATTTTCCGTATGTGAGTATGGATACTGTGGTGTCCTGTGCTTTGTGTACTCACTCATTTGCTGGTTACTCTGTTTGGTAACTTTGTTGTGTGTTTCTGGGAAAAGGTGAATTTAAGCAAGTTGCCCTTGGGCATACATTACCCGTAGGAAGAAAACTGTCTAAAAACTATAGTTAGACCTTCCTTCAGTAGCCTTCAACTGCTCTTAAACACTAGTAAAACTAAATGCATGCTTTTCAATCGAACGCTGCTAGCACCCGCCCACCCGACTAGAATCACCACTCTCGACGGGTCTGACCTAGAGTATGTGGACAACTACAAATATCTAGGTGTCTGGTTAGACTGTAAACTCAACTTCCAGACTCACATAAAGAATCTCCAATCCAAAGTTAAATCTAGAATCGGCTTCCTATTTCGCAACAAAGCCTCCTTCACTCATGCTGCCAAACATGCCCTCGTAAAACTGA